AAAACAAAACAACAGCCTCGGGCACATTAACCGGGAGGGCGGACACATCGGACAATGGGTGCAATTGCGGTTAAAGCACAGCCTTCCAAGTTTACGTCGAATGAGAAAACCAACGACGCTTCTCTGTCCCGACGCGTCGCCACCATTTCGTCGCGCTTTATTTTTTCTTGTACCTCGTTCGTCTTGTGTTGAGTTTTTTTTTTTCTATTCTCGTCGTCGACGCCTTCATTTTTTTGGGCCTGTTGTCGTTATCGTCGCCTTCAGCACACCACGCTGCGCACCGCGCACAATGTAAATAACATCAGCACACGACAAGATCACGATTCACTACTGCGGGCCCGCGAGCACACGATAACATCACGGTTCACTACATAGCTTGTCCATTCATTTTCTCAACCGTGCGCCTCCGCGACCCGCTCAGCCACGAGAACATCACGGTTCACTACTGCGGGCCACACAAAGGTGAAATGAGGTCGTTTGCGCCGCCGTTTCCATGCAGTAGTGAACTGCATTGCTGGGAGCTTAAGAGCACTAATTTTCCAACACACACTTGTTAGAAACGTGTTGGAAACACGTTGGACCAACGTTGAACGCATGTTGGAAACATGTTGGCCGCATGTTCGTAAACGGTTGGAAACATGGACCCAACCGTCCTAAACGGTTGGCCACATCATTTCACGTAGTTCCAATGCTGGTTCAGTGTTGTGCCCAAGTTAAAGATTTGATGAAAATTTCCCACAATTTTTCTGTTGATATGTCTGTCCTGACTCACATAATATGCAACTGGCCTTTACCAATTAGTACGGGGTTAGGGTTACGCAACGGTTAGCCTGCAACTCCAATTTCCAGGTCAATACATATACAACTAGACTTTATCAACACGAATCCAAGAATCCAGGGCAGGCAACTGACAGAAACTTCCCAACCCAGGGGTTAGAGTGAATCCCCGTTACATTCTACTATACTTCCTCCGCTCTATCCCCTTTTTACTCCTTACAACTCCTAGTCATTTCGCTTACCCACCTTGTATTTTTAGTCACCTGGCTCACCCTAGTAACCACCCCATCCAGCACCATCACGCCCCTTTCTTCCTTGAGCCCCACTTATGGTTTCGCTGGCTCCCATCGCGTCCCTCGGCGCCTTGCCCCACGACCTCTATTGCCGCGTCCACCATCTCCACGTCCAGTATTACCACGCCCGCTATCTCCACGGGCCGTACTGCCACACCCGCCGTCTTCACGGCCCCTTCCGACTGCCTGCCTCTGGCCCCTTCCACCTGTCATACTGTCCTGCGACACTTGTTGTATCGGTGGCCACAACAGTCCGACAGGTTGGATTTGGACTGGCGGGGGCCCACGGGGCATCATGTTCATTCAAGGGCCCATATAATTGCTTTGCGCCCAGGGCGTATAAGGATTGTGTGCCGGCCACAAGTTCATTCGGTTACGCGGCGCCCACTGCCCATGTAGTGCTGGCTCAATCAAGGGAGGCTCGCCTCGCCTTCCCACTCTTGCGGGGCAACCGCTACTTGCCGCGAGCTCTGCCCCTTTTCGGTACCTTGACCGCCCTGAGCGAGGTTCCTTGCCTTCCGCTGTGCCTTTGTCAACTTGAGAGGTTCGTACTCCTCTTTAATCTTGTCCTCCCTCCTGCCTTTGTCCCTCGCCTGAACACTGACTCGCCGCTTCGGGGTTCCTATTGAGTGGGTTGACTTCTGGTCATCCTCCTTTATACCTTTTTCACTCTGGCCAGCCGGCTTACTTGGGGAATCTTTTGAAACCTTCCGCTTGCCTTTCCTGGCCTCTTCCAGCCGGGCTAACCTTTCTTCCAATACCCCTACTTGCCTTTGTAAACCACTTAACTTTGCCTGCGATGGTGCGTCCGCAACTGGTGGCACAGGGTATTCCCCACGTTGGCCTTCTATTCCATCTTCTGGGAATCTTAGCCGTAAGGAACTCTCCAACTCATCCCATGTTTTCGCCTTCTGCTTGAGGGTATACACCTCCTCACTTAGTCTTTCACAAACGAACAAAGGGAGAATGCACCACATCGCTTTCTTGTCCCACATCTTCATAAGACTAAAATCCTGAAAGTCACGCAGAAAGCTAGACAAGTTCCTTCCTTGGAACAACAAGGCACGAAGATCTGGGGGCATTGACTCTTGCAGCGCTTCGTGCAGTAGCACCTTCATGAGGCATGAATTCCTCCAACGCAAAATCTTGGCGAAGCCGCTTTCTTCCGCCATGATGCTAACATCAGCCTGATACGCATAGCGACAATAGACCATCAAACAATGATTGAAGTCAGCTCAGGCAGACAAAGGCAAACTGCTAACACTTAAATCACGCTATCTACCCTTCTACTCATGCAATTAGGCCTCAACCCCTAGTTACCCTGACGCTCACCTTTATAACTACGGTAATGGGTAGAGGGATGACCCCAGCCAAGTCAAAAGAAGCGCATTTAGTAGAAAAAGAAGGCATTCCCTATCGGCCCACCGCTGCCCGAATCTCCTCCCAGTCTTCACCCCCTTCAACTGGATCATGAGTACATCATATACGACAACTATGCTGGCCATGCTCCTAGGCCACTGACTAGGGGGCTAAAACTTCAGGTCTAAATACAAACCATATATCAATTCGCATGTATAACGCCCATATTCCTATCCTCGCACCCTCAAAGCCGCTTCAGCTGCCGCCTCTATCTTTGCCTGTCCACCAAAACCCTTTTCTATTAGAAACTCAGGTAGGATTACTCGTAGCGGAGCAGATGGAAGTCCGAATTCTCCAGCGCACTTGACCTCTATATGGGTTAGTACTTGCTCTTCTCCATCAAGGGACACTTTCCTCGCCCATTTAGCTGCAGCTGCCTCAACTACCCTCAAAGGCTTAGCAAGCAAGCTCTCATGCCCAAGTGTCCACTCTATCCCATGTTCGATCCAAGAGGTGGCAGAGGCGTACAGGGTCACCCTTACAATTGCACATTCCCGACTACCATCAAACCCAGACTCGATCCAGACAAAGATGTTCGGGCCCATCAACATGCCCCACCATGAAGAGAGGTACTCTCCTGCTCTGACCCGCCTGGGTAAAGACACCTCGAGCCCTCCCTCTTTCTCAATTGGCCTAAGTATACGCGGGTCTTCCCATGCATAAGGCATCCTGAGTTGCCTTTGCTTTGTCTGGGTTCTGCCCATCACAAACAAACGTCCAGCACGCGCCTTCCGTTATCATGCTAATAATTGCGTTATACAATCGTTACCCCCAAAGCCTCAGCTTCAGCTCGTCTTTTTTTTAAATGCATCTTTTCCAGTGCTTCCGATCACCCAGCTTAGAGGAAAATAATAATGGTAATATATCACAGGAACAATGCATTCATAGATCTTCAAAAACTCATAATCATAATAACTTATTGAAACCGATATATTACTATAGTAACTGACATAACAAATACTCATAATAATCAGACACATTATACACAAGTTAGTCAGTTACCCAAAACATGCACAAATACCTCACAACAGCAAGCCTATATCAACAAACAAACCAACGATTAGCACCCTCAAACATAATACTCGTGAGAGTACCACACTTTACTCCCCGGCTTTGACAGAAGTATGCTGCGGCGAGGGGCAGAGTAATCCTTTCCATAAAGGATAGCATCTCAAATCCCCGAGCCCCACTCAAAGATCAAGCCTCACTGCTTCTCCCTCCGATTCTAGCATTCGTTCCTTGCAGACCTTTGTCGATAAAATAAACAACCTCACCACACACGCTTCGGGTGGTACCGTCCCGTCCTGTGCTGGCGAACCTACTTTGCACAAGAATAGTTGGGGATTCACCCCCTACCCCCTTGTGGCAGGTAGTAGCCGTTTCCCTTATAGACTATGATCTGACAAGGCTCAAACACTTTCCTCCTATTCAGTAGTAGTGTAGTTATTTTATCCCAAAAGATACAACAACAACACCCCACTATGGACCAGGAACATAGTTCCGACGTGGGTCTCACAACTACCTACAAGACAAGGTTATAACTTCTTCAAAGCCATCTCTTAGGGGAACAATAACACAGGACTGCAACCTTCCTTAGGGTAGACCTTAGACATCGACCACTCCCTGAGAAGTACTTATCTCAAGAGGCGGTCACTCCATTCACCTCTGAATCCGCATCAGACGTGGATTCTGCATAATATCCCTACCCTCTCTCTGAGGAGCAATCCAACACACAAACCTTAATAGACAACCATAAATCAATAATTGGACTTGAGACACTCATATAAATCATTGTAGACCGGATAGTTCAAATACCTACTCCAGATAAATGGTTCATGTAAATATTTCTGACAAGGATAATTATCAAAGGAATATAATCACCGAGCACATAGCCTCACACGATCAGATGCTAGGCAAGCTTACTCAGACAGTATTCGGCATATAGGACTAAATTCAACATATAACTCAAATAGAAATGCCCTCAGACGGTTAGCCTCAGGTCATAGACCCCAGTGGATGGTCCAAACCTAGGAAAGGTTCGAGCGAAGGTCTAACAACAATTACTACCCATCGCCCCACCAAAAGGTAAGCAAAATAGTCCAAGTGTTACCTCCTTCACTGTCACTCCGACTGCCTCTAGGACCAGATACCCTCCTTTAGTAGAAAGGGTGCCATGCAAATCTACTACTTCCCGTAGTCCTTTCCGCCTAACTCAGACACATCACGCGTGGCAGACCTCACACTTTCATGGCTATACAACCCGATCAACCTCTCAGAACCCAGACTCAAGGATCCCATAATTAGGTTCATAAAGCCTTTGGCCTCCTTAGCCTAACCTTCCTCGAAGTCCCTCGATGACTCCTGACTTAATAGGCTCCCTCACTCATCCTCGGCCTCACTCTAATGCAAAGGTACCCAGTTGCTCTCATGACCATTCAGATAGGTCCTTTACAGGGTCAACTCCCACAACCATCATACTTAGCCATGTTGATACTACCCCATCTCACCTTATCCATATCAACCATGCAAACATCATCCAAAACTCAGAAACCTTTGAAGTCAGAAGAGGGTATCAACTCCATCCACTATCATGCTAGTCAGAGTGCGTGATCACATAGAAAAAACTTATATCCTCCTTGCGTCCGAGTCATCGTTACGGTACTAGCCTCAACCATCTCACACAATCAACTCTCACTCGCTCTCTATTAAATGCCGTCAATCAATTATTCATAAAGTCGAAGGAAACTTCTCATTTTACCTAGTTCTCACAACCCCATACCCGGATGTCGTTCCACTAGGGACAACGGTAGGCAACCGTTATCCCCGGCAACGGCGCCACCTGTCGAGCGCATCGGTCCGGCACCGCACCAGGGCAGCGCGGAACCCTCCCGGCCGCGTCACGCAGAAGTTGGTTTAAATCCTTCATCGCGAATATATATGGAGCTTCTGCAAGCCGCTCCGGCCGAGTGCGCCAGCCATACCTCCTGCGAGCCCCTACGACAGGATAGGGCCTACGCGAGACACGACTTACCTCCACCTTACGGGAGTTGTCACCTCCCTTCGGTGGGCGTATCCCCGCCGAGGTACAAGTCCACAGTACGAAAGTTGATCAGTTGTAATCGCAGAGGTGGACCAGCCGAGGGCGTTTCTCGTTCGCTGTAGCATAGGGGGTACGTGCGGTAAACGCCTCTGTCGGACCCGCACGCGAATCGACATCTTGGGGGGCTGAGGTCCCAAGCGCGACTCGACGTCGGTCGACTAGGACATATCCCACACACCACGCGCACACCACTTTACAAACAAAAAAATAAGACACACACACACACCAAACAACGCGACAACACTCCTAGTCCCTTCAGTAGCCATCCCATAACTCTCCGATGCGAAAAATCGGATATGCATCGCGCGCGAGACTTGGTATAAAACCGCGCGGACGCAGGGCTAACTCATATCGACTCGCAATGCAAACGTACGCAAGCAGTCACAATGATGGCGTACTATGTAGTGCCCATAATCGAGTGGTCCCTCGTGGATCCGAGTACCGCTTATGACACTCCAGTGTCAGACTCGAAGTGTTGTAAGGGTCTAAATCCTCACGATATTGCACGACTGAAGGAATAGTTGTGCAACCACCGCGAGACCTCCGACCTTTGGTCTGAGCGTCTCGATAGGCAAGGCAAATAGGCTCTGCACGGGGGCAGATTCCTTCCCTGCAGAGTTCAGGGCTTGAGATGTCCTGGACGAGGACCTCGAATCCCGGCCCATGACCAACGTCCGACTATAAAAATCTCCAAAAAACAAAGGATAAAAACAAATTTCCCTTTTCTCTCAAACCATAATCTAGTTAACCCTTGCGCACGATCACAGTAAGCCGTAAGCATACCCAAGGCACATATAAGTATATACATAAGGTTTGCTTATATAGGACGATTACTTATCACAGTCACAGTGGGACTCCTCCAGCCATATATGTATGTAATCGCAGGCAGTCACATCCAGAGTCCGAACCACAAAACATACCTGCAGTCACATCAAAGATCCAACAAAAGTCCACACACTACACGGGGTCAACTTCAACCATTTTCTATGCTCATACCCCTTGCTTTAGCCATACAAACCTCACTCTTGTGCATTTCCCCAAAATAAATACTCACTACTTCTGTTAAATGGTCATTCAATAAAGTCTGGGTGAAAACACAATGAAACAATTCAAACCATAGGGCTAAAGCCTTTAGGTTGAGTGGCAAGAGTGAATTGGAGTTGAATCGCAAGCCGATGAATCGACAACCGACTTGTTATCAGTGATAACAGAGGATGATCCTTGTAGGATCAAGCTGAAACTAGCCCAAGTCCTGAATCGAAGTCCAAAGAAAGCCTATACCATAAGACATGTCAATCCCCAAGCTAAGTCGTCAGCGTATGGGGGATGAACCTCCATAACACCTTCTCACTCTTGGTTACCTGCCAACTAAATCCAAGTCTACCCCTAAACCATTGCCCAAAGCAAAGGTAGACTAACGGCAGGATCTCCCCTATTTAGGGTGGATTACCAAAATCGTCACCTGTCAAAATATAATCTATCTCCTTTAAGACCGATAAAATTTTGGCAGAGCTTCCCGCAGGAAAAGTGTCTTTTCAGAATTTATATAAACTCAAATATGAAAACAGAAATAGCCTTTGACTCTCTAAAATCCAATTTTATCTAACTCCCTAAATTAGCAAAAATTTGGGCAGCACTCGCTTTAGAAACGGAGACTTCCCAAATTTTTACTAAGTCATATACGATTCAGACAAGTTGAGCTTTTCAAAAGTCAGAAATTTAACTAACTCTTCGGATTTGCAAAAATTCCGGCAGT